AAAGTTTTGATTAATCACCTTCATTATTATGAGATAACCTTCTCTTACCACGTTCTATGCAGAAATGAGATTGATCGGCATTCTTAAATTCTTATGTAATCTTATAAGTAGTACACAAGGGAATATAAATAATAAACGAAAAAATATAAATGAAAACTATTTTATTTCCACATGGTTTCTATTTTCCATCCTATGATATAAAGATTTCATTTTTTCTACAGCAAGTTTTACTGACTTAATTTTTTGAACTATTAAAGCTTTTTGAAAACAGATCACCGATACGCTTATCTTTCTCCTCGTCTGTGCAGTCTGAAAATAATGATGTAAACCCCTCAATGTCTTGCCCAGAAGATCGATGGATCAGATACATCAAAGTGTAGTATCCACTGTAGTCTGATGATTCACTCTGTATTCGATGTCGATTGTAACTCCATTTTTCAGTAGCATTTTGAATGAAGAGAAATATTTTGTAAGGTGGAGGTAAACCGAAACTATCAAAATATTCACCCCCGATGAAATTCGTCAATGTAAACGGCTACCCATCGGTCTCCAGTATTGAATATATATGATGAGGGATAGTTGATGTATGAAGGTATTCTACCTTCAGCGTGAAATATTCCGTTAAAATGTTGAACGATTTGTGGATTACTTTGAATAAAAAGCTCTAATTCGATTGCGTACATCTTGCACAATTTTCTTTTCTCTGAGGTTTTCCGTCGATGTGATCTGTACCCGCACCTGAGGAGTTGTAATGTTCATAGCAGTAAATTATATCCTTTAGCTTATCTTTTTTGTGATCTGGGAGAAGGTCCCACACGTGCCATAGGTCACTCGGGGACACGTGATGTACAAAATACTCTTTCGGTAGGTAAGATATTTCTTGTATTTTTAAATTGGCTAAAGTTCTGTTACCGTATTTATCAAGCGTATTGAATTTATCAATAATTTCTCCAATCTTGTCAACTGTTTTGTCTTCGATCTCCAATAATGTGGATTTCTTTTCAACCTTGTTTATATACCAGTGTAACAACAGTCTAACATTTTCACTTGCACATTGATCAGTCGTTCGAGAATGGTAAAAACACTTTCTAAAGCTCATCTGTTTTCTCAGATCGTTGATTCTTGGACAACAAATTTCATCCATATCCCGCACGGACACAGTTTTATTCGATAAAGTATTTTCAATAAAAATCTTTTTTTCCATACCTTTGACTAATACAACATCGTAAGATCCTAATATCCTGTTAAAAATATTCTTCATTTCGAAATATGGAGTGTAACCGTCATTCCAGTCAATTCCATGACAGAATTGCTTAACCCATGTTGCAACCTTTTGTTGTGTTTCAGGTAACGCTGTATATGGAAAAGGTGGTTTGAAAATAATCGATTGCACTTTACTACCTGAAGTTGTGAGAAAAGCTGCTTCCTTCACGATGAACTCATTTTTTAGTCCACGGAACCCTTGGATATCACATACGACTGTTCTGTTCGACATCTTGTTAGCAACTGGAATAAAAATTGTGAATTATCACGTTACAACTTGTTTAATCTCAACCTACTAACCCTTGACCTTGTTCCTGACCTTTTGTTTTCCTTTTTTCACCTCATACTAACTTTTTTACCAAACTTGTCATCGGGTTGTATTCAACGACACGATCGTGTAATATTAAACAATATGCTGTAGTTTTAGCTGCGATTGTACTTTTCGATTCAAACTCTAATCTTATATCCACTGGTCCTGATTTTATGGATTCGTTTTGTCTGGAACAATCGATTACAATTAACGGAGCATGTGTTACAAATTCACTATATGTGAATAGGGGTTCGCCCTTTTTAAAATAGTAGTTTTCTTGAAATTTTACATACATTTCATAAAGAATCGCTAGCTGATTCTTGGACTGATCAAGGTTCATATCGTCATACGGGTAACACTCTGAATTCAAATAAAGTTTTACATTTGAAACGTCACATATATCAAATTCGCTGACATTTTTTTGATATTGTTTGATCTGTCCGTTTGAAATGCTAATACAACATATCGTGGTTTTTCCAACTGAGTTGATGTTTTTACATTCCATGTCTGTCTATTTGATTGTGGTAATAAAGGATATTCATAAAGCTCCCATGTTCTAAAATTGATGAAAATTGATTGATTTTTTTCAATAACTTTGAGTAAAGATAGTTTTTCTTGATCTGATGGGAATACGTAGGGAACTCTCCATTGAATTTTCTTGATGTTAATGTCCATCGTTGGCTCGATACTTGTACTTGTACCTGCAGCTCCTGTTTCAGTCTTAACCTCACCAAGCATAGCATTTAGGTCAGTTCTTGATCTTATAAGTATAAGTTCCTGTTTAACGTTTAATATAATTTTATTATAATCCTCAGCGAACCCAATTAAAATCTTAAGAGGAATGCAGACATTAAAATAGAAAGTACCTTTATTTGTACTGTCTTCTTTGAGAGTCAATAAACTACCTTTTTCACTCGTCCAGCCTGCATTAGTTAACATTTTAATGTCACTATCATTAAAAGACAGATAACCTTTCATTGTACTTGTAATTCCAACGTTTTTCACCCTATCTATTTCAACTCCACCGATTTCGTATCGTATTTCATCAAATAAATAAGCATATCCGTTATTAATGAATTTTGTATTTGTTGATTTAACCACCCCCTCGATGTAGAGAGTACTGTTGCAGGGATACGTATAGATATCTTGATGTTGGATTGGTATTCTAATTTCATCATTATTGTTGAATGAAGAATTAGCATATGGTTGATGTGCGTGTACTTCTATTTTATTTATCGATTCGTCAAAGTAAATTTGCTCTCTTACTTGTAATATACTACCAGCCATGTTTAATTTTTAAGCCTAATGATACTAAAAAGTCTCTATTACTCTTAGAAAGAGAACCTCTCTTCACGGTGTCCGGTGTAGAAATGTTCACGGTTTTCAAATACGGTATGTTCTTAACTGGGGTGAAGATCATAGGCATGATTACAAACGTTTAAGATGTAATGTTACTGTGATGGTTTCTTCACGGAAATTGATAGGTTTACCATTTTGATCAGTTATTTTAAGGGATATGTTATCAATCGTCCTTGTGTTGATTGGAAGATAGATTATATTGGCGGGAGTTTCAACTATTTTAAATCCTGGTGGAACAGTGGGAAAGAATGTATGTATCACATGACTTGGATTACTATTTACAAACGAAGACGTAATTATATTACACTCCACGTTTATAGTATTGACTTTTAAGACGTTTACCGTTCCATCCGACACATGAGTGAAAAACTTGTTTAATTTTCTATTTTTGAAACCTAATAAAGGACCTATTGAGTCTGAAGGAGTGAAGTCGATGTCTTTGGAACACTTTATCTCACTTTTTAACGTATTATTGTTTGGTTGAATTGTTATCAGTACATCATGATTAATGGGATACGCATTTTTGTATGATAAGCTAGTATCGATGTCAGTTTCTGTTTCACCTCTCTTATCTCCAAGAACCTTTCGTAAATACTTTTGCAAATCTTTAACTTCATATGATCCAGTAGGTATTTCTATACCCACCTCTTCATTTTTATCGGTAAGATAATAAAACATATTACACCCTTCCTCAACATTTGGAATTGAATTAAATGTTTCAAAATTGATGAACCCTAACACGTAATCTCGATCATTTTCTAGTTCAATTTTGGGGAATATTTCACAGCTTAAGAGTGAACTATTTCCCGAAATTACAAATAGGTGAGACATGTTGCTTGTACGATGGTCAAATAATGACTGAGATAGTTATTGGAGAATATTTTAATTACAATCAGACAGAAATTTCAAACACAACTGTCCACATATTTCAGTGTTAAAATTTTGATCCCTAACATAGTTATACAAAATAATACAGTTTTTTAAATAATGTATAACTTCCATTGGTGGTTTGAGGTTCCCAAAACTGTCGTAATACTTTGCATGTGATCCATCTTTACGTAAAGCGACCCAATGAGTCCCGGGCCCATCATCATCGTCTAAGTTTATGATTATCGCTTCTTTATTCCATGGATGCAAAGGCAGTTTATCCTTAGAGAATACTCCTCTAAAGTAAGGTATTTTCAATCGTTTAGCATACCTTTCCAAATCCAGATTGGTTAGTGCGTTTGATCTAAAAAAATACCCATCCCTTGTTTGTATGGTCTCAAATACAATCCTTTTCCTGTTTTAATCTTAACGTCACTTACATTTTCCTTTCTTGCTCTGTTAACTTCGTTTATGGCTTTATACACTGAGGTAGCTCCGCCGGCCAGACTTCCGATGGCAGACAGTCCGGCAAATAATGGCAACAGGAACGGTAACGCTCCTCCAGATTTGGGTATGGGTATGATTCTAGGTTTTTTTATTTGATCCTTTTTACCACCCCTCATCGCATTTCTTGCAGCTTTCAACGCTGCAGGAACCAATACCTTAAGTTCTTTGCTTTTACTCTTTTTAAGTTCGTTTTTAGCCGCCAGTATAGCATCCTTGAGGTGTTTCTTCTGTGTATTTCCATTCTTACTGTCATGTTTCGGACTCCTTTTCTGCCTTTTCTTTGTAACACTTTCTGACTTCGATTTCTTCATACCAGCACCGAGTTTAAGTTTTGCTTTCATAGCGTTCGTTACTAAAAAAGCGTTTACCTTTTCACCGAGTTTAGCGTCCGGAGCCGATACTCTCGTCCACGCCCTATCGGCCAGCAGCCTGTCAGCTTTGTGTCTACTCGTTAAATCCTTGTTCTGAGCGTATGCTATATCGTGTTCCTTGCAGTAACTATCAAGTGGATTGATCCCTTTGTCGCCCCTTGCCAGACGTTTCTCCAATTTAGTACCAGCCCCACAAAATTGGTATCCACCCAACAGATGTGCCTCAAAAGGTAGGTTATCAATAAGCTTATTAATTAGACCTCCACCTCGTTTGAAGCTCAGAACCATACTGATGACCAGTCCTACTTGCTATTCAACTTACCTACCCTATCCCAAAAGTCGTCTTTATCATCATCTTCTGTTGATTTACTTTCTTTCAAGGTTTTTATTTCAGACCTAAGATAAGCTAAGTCATTTATCATTGCACTCATGACATCTGATATGGGCTTACCTTCTCTATTTCGGGACCTTGCAGTCAACGAAGAAGCTGGATAAAAAACCTTAAGCTTTTCATCAATACGTGACATATCAGAGTTTATCCTGTTTTTGAAAGCATCTAATTGTTTACGAGTCACAGGTGAATTTTCATTCTCGCTCGCTTTGACAACCAATTGAATATTATACTTTTTTAAATCTATGACACCATTCATATCAGGTTTAATATAATCCTTTATCATTTCCCTCAGTACCACTTCAACTAAAGTTGTATTGTTGCTTCGTACTGTTTCATCTACATATTCTTTGTTTGCAACATCATGTCTTTCAATTGGCTTTTTGACATTTGTTATTATTGAATTATTGATATTTACTTCACTTTTGTCATCAATGTATAAATACTTCTGCATGAGTGTTCTTGCCTGACCTAAAGTAATGGGAGAATAATTATTTATGGCTTCATTTATATTAATTATAAACTTTTTAAAGTTTAATTCTCCTTTTTCTGGTTTAATGAAGGATTCCACCGTCTTGCTAATTATTTGATTTACCCTAACTAATTCTTTATCTAGATAAAGTTTATTTATTGCATCAGAGTCATCGGTTGGATCTTTTTCAATTTTAAAAAAGCTCAATCGTTTATTCTTCATATTAATTTCATCATTGATACCAAAAGTCACACATTTTAAATTAATCTGTGAATTAACATAATTTTCGATGTATTGTTTAGAAACTACATCCGTTAACTCGGTAGGATCTCCAATATTGTTAATTCTCATTCTTTTAGCATTAAAATTGCCATTTTCATACATTAAAGTATTGCTTTTGAAATAATCGAGAGATATTGCATCTTTTCCATCTACAGGGTTTGATATATTTTTAATATTATGATTTTCGCAATCAATAATAAATTTCTTTCTATCAAACTTAATAGTATCTCGTAGTTCTTTGTCCATACTATTTTGAAAGTACCTCTTATTAACAACATCCATGTCTGATTCAGGATCATTGACATTAACAATTTTTCTCTTTCTTAAATTAACTTGTTTATCCTCTAACAATAGACATTTTGATGAAATATAATTTAAAGTAACGGCATCACTAGAATCGACAGCTTCCCCTACGTTTGTTAACCTTTTGTTTTCAATATTAAAATTTTGTTTATCAGTTAGCTTGAAACCTATTCCTGAAGGTCCTACTACAACGTTTTCTTTGGAAGTAAAACCTATATAACCTCCAAACTTGTCGATACTTGGTTTCATCGTCTTGAAAGTCAAACATCAAATGATGCTATTCTCTTATTTTGATTGATATAACTATGTTTTTATTCATGACGTAATATTTAATTGTGTATAAATATATATTTATATCAGATAAATGAAAGGGAGATAAATTAATCTGAAACAAGGTAGGTAATAAATAACACTGAACACAGATTGTATGTCAAAATAATTTATATTTATTTACAAACATATCAAAATTACAAATATACATAACAAATGTCAAATATAATTGTTACACTTACAAAATTATGAAAAAAAATCTATGTATTAATTTGAAGATTCAATGGTTACAGTAATTAAAAACATAAACAATCAAACTAAATAGATAAGTTAAGTTTACAGTTTTTTTCATTACAGTCATAATACTTTCTATTATTCCACTATTTACATAAATTTACTGTAAAGCTCAAATTACTTGATTTATTTGTAACTAGATAATGTCCCTTCTTACAATGACAGACACATGATTGTCAACAATTATTTCCTCTAATTTACAGTCCGGATCATCGTGATCTTCGGAACCACCGTTTAAGACCCAACACACCCTAGCAACCTTTATTAGGACAAGATCTGCGATGTGACTACAGTAATTAATGCTGAACGGCTCGTTTCCATGATTTATTAGGTTAACCCTGACTACGTCTGTATGGTTGGAGTCAATAGACGCTGGAGAGTCTAAAACTGTCACCCCGAAAGTTTCCGCTTGCCATGCTACCGGTCGAATTTGTCCTTCATAACCTTCAGGTATTCTAATTTTTATACCCGCAGATATGGTTTTTCTTTCTCCAGGATTTAAGGTTATAGTGTAAATACAGGAAGGGAAAAATGCGTGCAGAGGTATAGCAACCCGACCCATGTTCTCGTATTCAGGCATATTAAGGAAGCCCTCGTCAACAGAAAGTTGTTCGTACCTGACCGGTACAGTTTCCAAAAAAACATTATCTGAAAAGTAAAAAACTAAATTAACTTACATACAAATCTAACAAATAATTTGAGCTTAACAAGAATCATTGGTCATTTTAGCTTTTTTTGCAATCAGTTCTTTGTGTAAATCAATTTTCCTTTTTTTATTCTCAATTAGTTTGTAATGGCCATATGCCATGGTATGGATATTATCATTTAATACAAATCTTTTATCATCATGAGACGATAACGCTAGTTTTCGTACTTTCGTTGTGTATACATCATGTTTCCTACTCCTAATTATATTCATTTCTTTGTACTGGTTTTGATTACAAAACAAAGCTCTCTCGTAGTCCTGAAAAGTTATTTCATTTTTAACAACACTTTTCTTTACACCCTTAGCACGTTTCTTACAATCATAATTCTTACTAAGAGTAGTATATAGCTTTGTCCTAAGACCAATGAATTTCTTTAGGGGAACTGATAAAGTTTCATCTTTCATAACACCAAGTCTTTTCTTATTATCGAGAGAGAAACAAGCGTGTGTTATTGGGTACTCACTAGTGTCAAAGTAATGTATATTCTCCTTGATTTGCTCATATACGTCAACTGAGTTTACATTTATAAGGTAACTATCCGTATCTGTATATAATAGTTCTACATTTCCTTGACCAAATACACGAGGAAAAATATCATAAAAATATCTATACATTACGATTTTGCTTAGTTCAAGAATAGCCATACCTACTGCAATGGGTTTGTTAAAATTTACTTTAGTTTTATTTAGATGAACTGCTATCAGTTTTTCTGTAAATATAGTTCTATCACGAAAATTAGGCTTAGCAATAAGCTTATCGAGCCTTTTAGTGCTACAAACTATTTCCATATTCATTCTGTTTCTTACGTTTTCCATACATTTGCCATAAACCGAATTGTTCATGAGTTTGAAAAACTCCTTTTCAAACTCATTTTGCGCATTTTTTCTAAATGTTGTGTTTTTTTCGATGTATCCATACAACCACTTAGACTGAACAAATTTCATACCTCTATGGATTTTAACCAAAACCAATCCATGCTCTACGGCCTGTTTTAACGCTTGGCTGTGAATTATGTAATTACGTTTAGGTTCTAAAGTTGTTAACAATTTTGAATGTTTACTACCTGGTGGTACTTTTCTTTGGGCGCAAAATGGTAAGTCGTTGTGTTGTTCATGTAGATGTGCCGGATAATCTAGATCTACCTCAAGTATAAACCCTACTTCATCATTTTCACCAATATCATTAATTTTATTTTTTACTTCATCAATTTCAACAGGGGTTAACCATTTAAAGTCCTTTAACGGTAAACTTTCTCCCATTGCAGCCCCATAAAGGTTATTTATATCTAGGAATAATATAAAGTTTGAATTATCAACTGTCCAGAGTCCCTGATCCATAGGTTTGACACCAGGTTGTGATTCCGAGTCAAGATTTGTTTCTGAAACTAAATACTTATTTGATGCCTCGCAGTAACGTTTAGTGCACATAGAAATACCACCACGAATACCAGCTTCTATGAACATGTACTGTTCATAGCTTGTTAACAAATCGATTTCAACTTTAGTCAATTTAAGACACGCGTCGAACGAAAGGCCAGGAGCTGTGAAATACCAACCTGGGTCCAAACCATAATTGGATTTACAAACTTTTCGGAAATTTTCAAATACATCGCTTAATAGTAACACATCAGTCTTAAGGTAGATATCAGAAAATTCTCCTAAGGTTTGACAGTTAAATTTGTTCCAAACCTCAACAGCCCTATTATAATCTTCTACAGCAACTTCTGACTTATTTAGAGAGCTGTAAAACTGATCAATAGAAGGCAAGCTAGTCTCATTAAATTTTTCCCAGCCATCTATGTATTCGTAGGGAAAACAGCCTTTTTTTGTAACAATATTAAGTTTATCATAACCGAAATAAGAAAGTGTTTCATTGAATTGATTTTTGTCAAGATTTTTGACTAGTTCATCAAGACTTCTAGACATAAATTTGTACGAATCAAGAAAACGAATTTCAAATCTAGCAGCAACTTTCTTTGATAAAGAGATATACCGTTCTTCTGTATTAGGGATTACCTTTATTTCCATTTCATCATAATCGAGACTTTTAATAATAAAATGGAGGTCATAATTTGACATATTGTGCAAGACTACGGGCAAAAAGTGTGGATTTTGATATGACAAGTTACAATTTGAATGACTTGCACCTCTAAATTTCCCTGTATTAGGGTCGTGATCTCTAACCCTTAAATTATCGGCAGTAAACTGTTCTTCACATATGTGACAGCAAGATGAACGTTCAAACATGTCCACTTCTTCATCCGTTAACTCCATAGGCAACTTATTTTTGTACGTCTCGTACACTTTAAGAGCTTCATCTCTGATCTTTTGGCAAAATACCTTCACAGCATTTTCTCCGCGAAAAAGGACTGGTTCTGATTTTTCACCATTACTTGAAACAACATAATAACAAAAACTTGATGGGTAGTGCTTTTGATAGTCAACAGTTGAAGAGGTAGATTGATTTTGCGTAGCATGTTTAGTTTTGCAGGTGTGGGAGTTCTTACAATTCGGTCTTTTACAGTTCAAACAGCATTGATTCAAATTTTTACAGTTGACTCGGAAACAGT